GTTAGGAAATACTACACCAAAGCTTTAGACATCCCACCAAGCTCTGAAAGCAAAAACACACAAAAAACACTTAAATGGACAGGCCAGGCAAAAAAAAAGCTAAATTCAAGGAGGAAATTGATTTCAACTCAGGGACATTGCTGCTTTCCACAAGCCATATAGGAAACGCTGACCACTATTTGAAAGACTGTGCTCTGCTCTGGGGACTCATCCCACAATATTGAGTAAGATCCACACTAAACCTGTACATACGCCAAAAAGAAAATGGTGTACGCCCCCAAAATTAGATTTATAAACCATGCACACACCCAGCAGCATGCAGTTTTCCATTATACAACATGCTGTAGCTCAGGGTGGGGCGGTTGTGAGATGGTTTTCACAGTCATTCTGACGTGATCCCTGAGGTATATGGAGGGCTGAGAATATAATGAAATACATAAAAGTGAATGTTCTATGAAATAAGTTAATGTACCATAAAATGAATTGACATAAAATTAATTAATTTATCTAATACACAATTCAAATAATGGATATGCACTTAAATTGCACAATGTACCTTTGAATTATACAAAAAATGATTAATTAAATAATTAAATGTTGTTAAAAAATTAAAATGAAAATATTTACTTTATATTTAAACATAAATATAAAGATAAGTAATTATATGTAATCGTAGAAGGGAGCTACAATGTTGCATTGCTATTTTTGGGGATATAGGCTGAAGTGTTTTTGAAGTCCTGCTCTAGCTGAAGCTGAGTGTCGGTCTCAAGGTTTTGCTGCATTTTCTGCCCCCTACATGCCCACATTTATCAAGAAATGGTCAAAGCAAAGCACCTTAGGAATGTCATCAAATGAGACAGCTGATCAATGCAATATGATGGTTAAGACGCACAGAGGAAAGAGTGAAACAAAGCAGTTTAGATTAGGCAGAAATGGATGTGTTGGTGAGTGAGATCAATAATCGAAAAAATATGTTGGGTTACCATGGTAGTGTTATGACTTGGGTTAAAAGACTTAGTTAACTAAATAATTGATTAATCATGATTAATCAATCATTGAAATAATTTTCAACTAATTTAGTAATCGATTAATAGTTAACTATAGTATAGAGACTCTAAACATGCCTTTAGCTGACAGAGCGAGGCAGTTGCAGACAGGCAGTAATATTATTGAAATTGCAAAAAAAAATGTATATACATTTTGCATTAAAGATAAAAAAAAAACGCTCTATTCAATACTCATCAAGTGGAAAGGTTTTAGTTACAGCTTCTTTTAATTTTGTAAAAAAAATCTTATTTAAGGAACCTTTGACTATCCGATTATTAATCGAAAAAAATACTTGACTGATTAATCAATTTGCTAAATAATCGTTAGTTGCAGCCCAAGTTGTTAAGTATAAACGAAAGTGCTGTGATTGCAAAGTGTCCATTATCTGATATATACAGACTAGTCGTATTAAATTAATCCAAGCTGGTAGGCAGTGTTACATTTTAAGCTGGCTGGGATATGACAGACTGATGGATAATTTGAAAGGATTGTTTTGTTTTAAAAAGTGGCTTCGGGCAGAAAGTTAATTAATTATTGATCATGTTTAACACCTGTGGGCTAATCTGGACTGGTGAGAGCTGGTTGCCTGGAACCCCAGAGTAGTTAACAGCTGCAAATGTTAAAAAAAAAAATCTTGATAAGTAGCACTTCCTGCTATCTACAAAAAGTAAAACGGGCAAAAAATATACATGTTTTCATTACGTCAGCTTATTATAGCTTACCTCTTAACATGCACCTATCCTCTAATTTCTCTTTAGATATTTGGGATCGGTCAGATTCTGCAATATTGGAAGTACTCACGAAATATATCCAAGTGAATTGGTCTTCTACCATTCTCCTACTGCAGGGGAGAATGATAGATGTGAACTGCATAAATAACCTATTTAGAGAAATGGTTAGAAGAATTCTGTTACACTGTAAAATAAGAAGTTAATCTTAAGTAATTATACTTTAATCACAAAGCTTTATACTTTCTGATTTAAATATACTTTTCTTTTTGGTTATTGCAGTATGGTTTAATGAAGTTGACCTTGTTCAAGTGTCAGTGAAATTGGTCAGAGGAGGCCACCTTTTTATCAAAGGGAGGTCACCAAAAAGAACCACTGCTCTAGGGAGTCTAACAGGCTCATAGACTAGTCATCACGACGGATCAGGAGGGCTTGGTGTTGCCTTAAAACGTGTTGAGGCCTATCCTCCTGTTTAAGTCTAGTACCAGTAGCAATATTTCCATCATAAATCTTTATGCATTGATGTTACAACCGGAGAAAAGGGAAATGTGACCATGAGTACTTGTTTACTATTGTGGGACTTTCATTTAAATCTCAGTTGGCTTCGACGTACGGCGTAAAATTTAGCACATAATTAGGTCTTAGGCAAGGAGATATCAGATTTCAGGTTTCCATCTCAGGAAAAAAAGTTATTTAAAAAGTAATAAGAATTATCCCAGTAAAAGGGTGCCTTTGATTCGGTGTATGATATAAAATTATAAAATTTGCTTCTATAATTTACCATGATAAAAACATCATCATTTGAAGGCAGCTTAAGATAATCAAACGGTAGCAAAAGTACGGAGAGTAGGGAGAGCAGCTTAATATTAATATGGTACTTTTAGGAGTCTTTAAGGAACGTTTTTAGTGACATCATTATCCATGTGCCGCTCTTTCACGTTGATCTACATATTTACCTCACTTGTAGCACGCTTTTCTCCATATAAAACACACTGGGGGTTTAAATAATTAGGAATAATAGTTTGATATGGAGTGAAATTTAACGCCTGAGAACAATAATGACCCAGAGTAGCTTCCAATAACCTACCTCATTATCTGTGTTTCCAAATTCCCGTCTTCAGTATGTGCTTACACATATTTCAGAGTTTGAGTATAGGCTACAGATTTTCCAGTCAATTATTTTTTTTTTTATTTAATAGATTTTCAACTTTGCATTCAAAGTGACATACACTGGTTTTAGTCCTGTTTTGTGCGTACACAACCTCCATAAGTAAGACTCAAGATGAGATGAGCTGAAAACTTTACCCTTTGCCATACATGCAAAGCACTGAGCTAGAAAAAAAACTACCACTGACATAGAACACAAGCGTTATTTACAGTAGCGATTTAAAATTTGCCTATTTTCCTCTATCGGCCCTTGGCTGGTTCCCTACAATTCCTTTTTAAGCATCAATATTTGTACCGGAATATTCTTTCTGTCATGATTTGTGGACATTAAGATCTAAAGAGAAGGGCCTTCTCCTGGTCAGACCCTGTAATTCAGTGAAAGGTTGGAGTTAGAGTAAGAAAATATGCATGCCCAGGAGAAGGGGTCACTCCAGTGGTTGGAAGTTGTCTGCCATTCGGCTGGCATTTGACTGGGAAGGGCCATTTTTAATGCTGCTACTGTAGTGCCAATGCACAACGTATATAACGTATGTCATCTCAGACACTTTATAGTGACTGTTCAACCAGATCATACAATAATCTTCAGCTTGTTTCAGGAAATCCAGCATAACTAATAATTTAACTTTATTAATCTCACATTGGAATAATTTACCTCTGCATTTAACCCATCCACTTGGTGAGCAGTGGGTTGACATTGTGGGGCACCTTGGGAGCAGTATGGGGTTAAGGGTCTTGCTCAGAGACCCAGAGTGGCAGTCTGTTGGAGTGGGCTCGAACTCAGAACCTCAGGTTCCATGCACTATGTCCTAACCACTACCCCGCCCTCGCCATATAGATTAAGCTCAGGATAACCTGAGCCTATAAGCTTTATCAGAAAGGAAAGTTTTTAATTTACCCTTCAAAGTATACAGGGTGTCTGCCTCACGGACTAAAACTGGTAGTTGGTTCCACAGCAGAGGAGCCTGATAACTTAAAGATCTCTCTCCCATTCTATTTATAGAAATTCTAGGAACCACTAGTAAACCTGCAGATTGAGAGTGAAGTGCTCTGTTAGGAACATAAGGAACAATCAGATCTCTGATATCAGATGGAGCTTGGCCATTTAAGGCTTTATATGCGAGAAGGAGGATTTAAATTTTTACTTGTGGTGTTGCTTATTTTTTCAGCAGGACAAGAATGCTGGTCAGACGTAGGGCAGAATAGCATGCATCAAAGCAAACCCATGTACTACACTGGCACAGTCAAAGGCCTGACCAAAATCAGATTAGGAAGGCTTGTGATTTAATATGCATAGAGATTCACTGACCACTCTAACTGAACTTGATCTATTTGGCAAAAAGTAAGTGCAGAAATTTTATTTGGCAAATGCGCAAAGCAAGTTAAGACATACCCTCAAAACCCTGCAGCCATTGTTGAAATAGAAGGTGATTCTGCATGTCTATAATTCTGTTTTGATTGATAGAGCTGAATAAACAAGCTCCAGGTAGAACTGTATATGTTTAAAACCCAGAAATTATATGTTCATGTTGCTACTTTGTGGAGGTCTCATGAAAAGTCATTTATGCTTTTATTTTTGTGACTGGTACACTATGAATTGTTGAGAAAATAAAGAGTTTTGAATAGAAAGCAGAGTGTACTGAATTTAGTCCAGTTAATTTGAATTGGATGTTGGTTTAAATTCTCATTTTGACTCTAGAGATCTAAAGCCAACTGTCATTCAAATCTCTCACCGTCTACCAGTTTATGAAGCATTTATGCTATTTAGAGCTTTCCTTCAATAACTACATTAAAGCTACATAAGGTTGCTTTATAGAATTGGTCTGGATCTTGATCAGAATTTCTCATAATTCAGAGCAGAATCATAAGAGGCTATGTGGGACCTACCTTAGCCTCAGCCTTATAAAACTTAGTTTTCTACAGTGTTGAAGAGAGGAGGAGCTGTCTATGTAGTTTGATATCAGATGGTTTGCTGAATTATTCATCCAATATCCTCTTTGATTAAATGTTTTTAATAACTTTCCCTTCGTTTCTCATCATCTTGTCTCTTCTTCCTCACAGGTAATGAGTTATTGTACCGTAACCGAGATGGCGACGTTGTCAAGTACAACATCGACACGGATGAGCAAACTGTCTTGGTTCATAACAAGAAGTTTGTAAGTCTTTTTTTTTTTTTTTTCTTTAAGGATTATTATTCTGACGAGACAGAATTGCTGTCAGTTTCTGCCCTTAAACTTAATCCCAACTGTGTTACTTTGGGTCAGCAAATCAAACCTAATGCAGCTCCTTCGCTTGGAAAATTCAATCAAACGATGCATCATTTCTGTGAAATGTGATCCGAATATGTAGGCAGACGTCAAGATAGCTGATATAATAACATTATATCAGCTATAATATTGCGAAGCCCAAGTGCAAAGATTAATGTGGCCCCCATTAACGGCTGAAGCAAGGCAATCTGTCAAAGGCAGGCATTTAAGGACAAGTTTAATGAAAACAGCACGCATGGCTAAAGATGTGTTATTGTTTCGCTTTCTGCACTGAAATCTCACTTTAATTCACAGGAAATGTACAAAGCCAGCAGGTATGAGGTGTCCCCTGACTTGAAGCATGTGCTGCTGGCCTACAACGTTGCAGCGGTGAGCTTCTCATTTGTTTTCTTGTTTGTTTTTTCTGAGTTGGCAAACTGACAGCCAAATATTTCAGACGCTTCAGGAGAGAGGAGCGGGGTGGGGAGTAATCATGGCGAGTTGTGAAAGCTTGCTGCACACAGGCAAGGCGGAGGTGGGAGGGCTTGTGTTCGCTTTTTGGGGGAGTGGGGAGCACAGCTGAGCGGAACTGTGGCGAAGGTGGCAGAAACACACACGACCCCCTCGGCGCCACATGGGGCTGGAAGAGAAGCAGATGAGATTGACGGCAAGAGCAGGAAGCAGTGGCTGGGAATACATCATTTCTCTATGCTTTTTGAATCAAGTAACCCACGACTGCATTTGGCCTGCCAGCGCCGTGATATGGATCAAAGCCTCTCGCCTCCTAATATAGCCGCATCAGATATATTGAATCATTCACCTGCTTACCTGCTGTTTGCTTGTCCTCCCTCTATTCTGCTGCAGCCAGCGTATTTGTTCCTGTTACTCTGAAAGATGCCTACAGATATATAATCTGGTGTTATTGCCTGAGATGAATAGCGAATATTATGACAAACAGGATCCTGTTGTACTGTTTGTATTTGCATTTATTATCCAGCTGAACTCCCCATCAATTTGATAGATGACAGTCCTTCTTCCAGTATGCTCACTGCAGCAGCACACCGTGACATATTTATGTATTCTCTCTCCTCAACATGTAGGATGGATCTAATACCTACTAAATAACGTGATAGAGTGCTGAGACGTATGTCACTCTTCCTAGTTAAAATGTTAAAGTGTCTCTTGCAGAAAAGGAACTCAGATTAGTGCAAATTTGATGATAATTAACAAAAATTGTAATAACAATGTATAACAAGCTGTTTAATATCTTTAGTTTTCGGATTAGATCTTATTCAATGCAACCAGCGGTAAAGTCTGTTCAGTATATCAACTCTTTTACTTTTTTAGGAGATTTTTGTTTTTTAGATTACCACTTGTGACATCTGTAGATGATCTTGTTATTGTGCAACATGTTTTACATTCTGTTGTGCCAATAAATTTGAAACTACAACCAAAATTATAGATCTAGTGTCTTTCCGAGGCATTTATACCCTAAACGTTTAAACTGCACGGTACGACCAGAGACTTTGATTTTATGTGTTGGAACAACACGGTGCACTGCACAATTTGGAAATGGAAGACACAGGGTAGAGGGAAAACCTGGTGGTCAGGTCAATCTGGAGCAAAGTTTGAAGCAAAGCAGCCATTAACGTTTTAAAGACTTCTACTTTTGTAAAAAAAAAAAAAAAAAAAGGGCTCATACTGCATTCTAAATAAGTCATCTTTTCTTAAAATAAATGCATTTGTTCTTGAATTGAGTTGGTAGGTGAGACACTTTACCAGTGGAACAAGACAATTTACATTTAAAATAAGGAAAAAACTACCGGTATTATCTTATTTCAAGTACATATTACCTAATTAACTTAATTCAGAGTAAAAATACTCACTCCACTGGGAAATAATCTTATTTACCTGCTTAAACTAAGGGTTAATAAACTTAATTTAAGAAATTAGTTTATATTTCTATATCATTTTGGCAGTGTAAGGCAGTCTGTAGCTAAGGGTGAGACGAGGTAAGCTACAGTATACCTGCAACTTAAGGCTTGTTCCTCAGTTGACAGTCTTGGTACCATTTCTATATATGATGGATGTGCTTCCTAACCCACAGCGGAGGAAACATTCAGGCTGTTCTACCTGTAGCACTCAAACCCATTTTGTGCTTTCCTGGAGCAGCTTGATAACGCTGAAGCATTTTATTGGCATGGGAGTGGTGTTGGTTCTTCTCTGCTAGTTCAAGGACAGTTAGTAAAAAGAAAAGTCTTCCCATGGGCCAAAAGTCACGGTGGACCAAATGGTGTTAACATAAATGTGCCAGTGGTGTCAATTATTTCAAATCTAACAGAAATAATTGTAGAACTTTACAAAGACTTGATATTTAGAGGGTACTCACCAGCATATTTCAGCGGAGTGTGCAACAATGCCTTCAAATTTGCCCCCACTTTATCTTTTTTTATCTCTCTATATGTATTTACGAAATTATTATTTTTTTTTGTTTGTGTATGGGTAAATATAACTAAATTACAGTGAATATGTACATTGGTACACTATGTTCTCGTACATTTATGTATTTACTTGCAAAGATGGAAAAAAAAAAAACAACTAATAAAATGAAAGAACGTAATTTGTCCCCACTGCACTGAAATCACAATGCTATACTTAATTTTATCGCTGCTACGCTGAAATTCAAGACACTACACTCGTTTTTATGAGTCATAACATCTAGGCTCCCTTGCCCTCAGGGCTCTGTTCCACCATATTTCAGCACAAACACTGGCTACACCGAAATTAGGCCAATGCACTGACTTTTATCGAGCAAAACAGCTGTGGAAACTGTTTTTAAAATCATTTACATCCGTCTTTGCACATATACTTGAGAAAAGGGCTTTGAAAATGTGACCCCTGCTCTCTTCAGACTCTCATTGACTCACACTTGGCGCTTGCAAACAGGTGAACACAGACAGCCAGCTTTGAAAGCATGGGAGAAGATTACCAAATAGGGGGTTTGTCAAGCCACACCAAGTAATGCTCAGTGTTTTTTTTTTCTTTTTATACCCATTAATATACAGCTGCAAGCAGATCAGAGAGAACGTCTCTAGGTCAATGCAAAAAAATATAAAGGGATATGAAAAAGACAAGATTTACAGAGAAAAGGATTGGGTCTAATTACACACACATACAGAGAGACACACTAATTAAAAACCTCTGTTGAAAACCCTGGATTTATATGTTAAAAGCATACAATTTAAAAAGGCTGTGCTTTTTATTAAGAGCATATCAGAATATGAAGGATGAACTGTTATATTCCTGAAGGATTAAATATGATCTTGCAAGCATTGTGACTTTATTCAACTTAAACTACTGCAGTAAAAAAAAAAATACTAATTTAAATGTTGAAGGGATGGCAAGTCGCTCTTTTACTTACATCAAACATTTTAGAGTTTATAGAAATGATTTTCTGTTTTATAGAACCATTTAAAAAAACATTGTAGATTTTCTCTTTCTCCTTGTTTTATTCATGATCCACTCTGTGTCTCTGAAGGATTTATTAGTGTTAATCCTGTTTGTGTTTTCTTTAATCTCAAACAAAACACTGGTCCAGTATAACCTTGGTGGACTTTTAATACTTTAATTAGCTAAACAAAAGGACATAAAACAGTTTCTTGCCAATGGTTTGAACTAAGTACTTTTTGTTCCCTCCCCTTGCAGGTGTACCAGTATTCTTATACGGCCTTTTACATCATCTGCAGTCTGGAGACTCCGTAAGTGAATCTTTGATGGATTTTTTATTTTAGATAATATCTAATCTGAATTTCTCTTACAAATAAAACTGACCTGTGAATCACCTAAAAATTCATTGTTTACTTCTATTTTACATATGAAGCCCAAAGAGTATCATCTAATCTGTGGCACAAACCACAGCTTATCCATGTTTTCCAGCATTTTATAGCTATAAGAAACCACCCTGTAATGAAAAGACCCACTTTTAGGATGTAAACAAGAAAACAGTTCAGATTTTTTGCATTCTTAGTTTCTTGGATTTGTGATCTGAGCCTAGCCTTGCATTACAAGCTGGATTGTCATGAGATCTGAGTTTTCAGTCTTAAAACAAATCCATCTTGAAAGACTAATACGTCCGCTAATACGTCCATCTCATAACCACCAGTGGGTCAGACCAATGACATGCCAGCAGTGTTTTTTGGGGCGGGACATGTAGGAATGACGACAGTCAAAAGGGCCTCGCTGTGGCATTACAAACATGGCTCTGCTGGAGGACTCACCTATCAATACCGACTCGGTTTTAGCCAAAATAATTAACATTTCTCATTTAAAAAAGGAGCAAAAAGAAGCGCTTTGTGCATTTGTAGATGGGAAAGGTCATGATTAGCAGCTGTAATTTGCTGAGAGCATTTTATGGAAGGCGGTTACTAGCTGGCACGTCCCCAATCAGCTCTAAGTATTGCACTAAATGTCCCTCCTTTTTGCCGACAGACTGAACGGTAGCCATCCAATATTGATAACTTAGAATTCAACTCAGTTTTACACATATTAATCTGGCTACTGCCAGGTTAATCTGAGCCTGTAAGGCAATGAAAATAAACATCCCACCCCCAATGTATTATAAGTCATTTTTATGCAATGAACATAAGTCAAAAGTCTGCTTGTGCTTTTTCTTTGTGACTCCACCTCATCCCTAAATACAAGGATGGTGCCTTTTCCCCACAGTCTTACAGTTCAATTTGTCTGCATTCAATTTGTTGCCATAAATTCTTTTATTTCTGTATATTTTTTTTTTTTTTTTTTTTTTTTTGCTGTTGTCCATTGAATTTAGGTGCAATTTGGGGGTGTGGTTACTTCTGTTTCTAATGAGGGCCCTACTGCATCATCCAACATTTCTTTGTGCAAATTAATTGCTGGTGTACATGACATTTTTTGTGACATTGAGAGTGTTGATTTACAATTTAGAAACGAGTAGTTGCACACGATGCACATAGAAGCTGTGGCCCTAAAAGCCCTTGAGTACCTTACTTGGAGTTCTGCCAGTCCGATGTTAAGGTTGCTGCCTCACCTTGCTTCATGCGGGACCCACAGAGCGACACACTGTTTTAATTAGTCGTAAACTTAACCTTAGGGAACTCTAGTAAACAAACTCAGCAACAAAAGTTGATTTAATCTAAATGTTGAGCACTTAAAATGCCTGAAGGGAAAAATACAAATAAGTGAAGCTCTGCAGACTTTTACTCCTTGCAGCTGTACTTCCTTTTTTTTTTTTTGCATACAACCCTAATACAAGACTTGCTTTTTTCCTTTGCTATTTCGTTTGACTCTTAATTTTAATAAACAGAATATATGATACTACTTTTAATTTAGTACATTAAATCTTTAAAATGAAGAAGTGACCACATTTAAAAAGGCAAAGATGAAATGTCATTTATAGATGCGCAATAACACAAGATTTTCTAATCAAAGGATGTTGAGACTTGAAACCATTTCAAATCTCAATAAAAGGATCTGTTTTTGTTTGTTTTTTTTCCCTACACAATGGTCCAGTGAGATTAGTCCTTTATGAAGTCTTTCCACAGATTTTAGAATTTATATCCCAAAGGTATTGATTTGTTCCCCTCTGATGTATAGGATATACAGTAGTATATACATTAGTATGAATGTATAGGATATAATGTGCTGCCACCCTGTGGTACTGTCCTCTATAAATGCACCTGCACATCTCTGCGGGTGACCTCATTCATTGTGAGCTGCAGACAAAGACAAGACATCGGCATCCCGTCTAATTCAGCCTGCACAGAACAGCGCTGTTCCCAATAAGGAGAGGTGACACCCTTACACGGTGTGGGTATTTATGGAGACACTTAAACCTTTGTTCAAAGATGTCCCACACTTGCTCTGCTGCTGCTGCTGCTGCAGTGCTGGGAGTACACAGCCATCGTGTCTGTTTAGGTGTCTTGACTTCATGTCTCCCTCTGTGTTTTTGTTCCCTAGAGAGACATGGAACCTGAACCCCCCAGAGGTGCGAAATGCTCAGCTGCAGTTTGCAGGATGGGGACCCCAGGATCAACAACTGGTAAGAGATGAAAACTTCTCTAATTGTTTGTCAAAAACTTAAATGTTCAAGTAGTTTAAAAAGTGAGGTTGAAAGTTTTCTTGATGCATACAGCAAAAAAAATGATGCCCTTTACTGTTTTTGTACTGTTTTATTAGAAAATCAAACTTATTTAATTAAGAAAAGGGGTTTCCTTTGGGATTAGACATTGGCTGGTTTGTCAAAGGAGTTAGTGTATTAATTAAAAACATACTCTACTCCTATTCTAGTTGCGGGACAAAATACATATTTTCTTTATTAACTGAATAAAATATTCTGTATTATTTTTGACGGAGCCTTTTAATTATGATTCTCTTCGTCTTTGAATCTTAATGTTTTCTGTTTGTTATTTTCATCGTGTTTTGTGTTTGTGTATTTTAAAGTTTTTTAAAAATCAATTAACTTTTCTAGAGGAACTTTTCCACATTGTTTACGATGAAACATAAACTTTTATAATTATTTTATGTCCATGGCCATTGTTTTGTGTGGCTAATTCAGGTCTGCTAGTCAGTATTTTATAATAAACACAGATAGATTAAAAAAAAATGTATCCTGAATAAAATTCTGTTGTGGTGAAGCCATTTCAGGTCAGTCTTTGTTAGCCATTTCAACACAGCCTAGGTGGTATTTAGACATAAACTGACTATTTTTATGTGGATTTACTTTCACATTTCACTTTGAAACTTATTTCAGTGAATTGGATTTTAGATAATCTGCGTAGGAAATAAAAAATGTATTTATATGTTAGTTTGTCACAATATTTGTCTAAAAATTAAGCATTGCAGGGGTACAATGGGCCCAACATATACAGATGATAGTCCAGCTCTGACTTCCTGACCTAAGACCTATGCTGACCACTTCCAAAGAGATTGCCCTTTTGGTGTGAATTATGTTGAAATCCGAAATTTCTTAAACTTGTAGGTAAACGGCCGTTCCAACCGTTGCATTTCCGAATTCTCCCGAGCAAATAAAGTAAATGTGATGTGTCCCTTATCAAGAGGGCGGGATTGGAAGGTTCGTAAGCAAGTTTTATTGTAACCAGTTTCTCCGAAGCATCTTGTTGACCAGTTAGCAACTTCCCAATGGGAAATTACATTGGGACCAGGTAGCACTAAATTGGTGACTTACCAACGACACTGTCAAGGAACGCTATGGACAGCGGAAACATGCAAGAGGAGGAGAGTTTTGTGTCGGAGGTGGTGGATGGTTCTCCTCTGTCATACATTTTTTATTTAGAGGAGGAAAGCGGGTATAAAGATGTTGTGGAAGAGGACGCCAGGGCGGCAGAAGCTTTGTTTGGTGTAGAAGGCTTCTTATTTCAACCGTTGCGTATATTAGTTGCGACATATAAATCCAGACGCTATGACCAAAAAAATATGATTGACAGATGACCCTTGATATATGATTGGCCAAATTTAGGTGTACAAGCTGACGTATAACTAACTGGCCTGCATAAGATAACGGAAAAAAATACAGATTTTAAGACAAGATTTTTTTTTTAAATAGAAATTTTCTACATTTTGGCACAATATTGTCTGATAAAGAGAACATTTATATACATGTTTAAGCCAGAAGGATTTGACATTTAAATATGATCTCCTGCAACTTTAAAAGATTCACAGTACTTGCTTTGCTGCTGGGATGGAATTACCATGTTATGTAGATGTAGTTTGTTCAAGAAAGCTGTGTAGATATATCGGCGGTAACTTAGCCATTTGATTTAACACCAAAAGAAGAAAGGCAACTCTGCAGAAACAAAGAGGAGGCTCCATTATTTCTGCTTGTGCCTTTAAAGTTGCCGGTTCGGTGATAAATTGTGAAATGAGGTCTGCAAACTGAAGTCTGTTTCAAATAATAGTGTTTTAGTCCAATGTCTTTGGAAACAAACTAGGGATTAGCTTTTCAGCTTCGTATTAGCAAAAAGAGACATTGATAAGATGATCATGCATTTATCTGAAGTGGAAAGAGTTGAAAGGTAATAAAATATTAATGTTAAGACACATTCCATCATCCCTAACATAATTATTAGGGTTGATGGAAATAGGAAGAGGCCTATTTGAAAATTCTGCAGAATTAAGGGCACTGTTTATTTTTGCAGTATTTTTTATTTTCATAGGAACCAGAAAACATGATCAAATACCTTTATCTCTACATTTCTAAAACCTACTCTAAACTCTCAGTAAAATGCACTCAAAGGACATTTTCAATAACAATTATTTAAATGGTGCAATTTCCACTTCAGAATTCTGAACACCAGGAATTTAAACTTATTCTTAATGTACAGCTGTCTCCAAACCTAAAGGCTGAAACTCATAAAAAGCTGTTTCTTTTAGAAGAGCTGAGAGCCATCTGCTTCTCGACCCTAAAGGACACAAGCAGAGACTTTGAGAACAAACTTAATGGTGCAGTAAGGTGATTCTTTTCTTAAACAATCTAACATTAAAGAAGAAATTTATTTTAAAGTTCAGGATGGCTTCAGGACTTTTTTGTTGTTTTGTTTGTTTTTTGTCATATTGACATTGTTGTGGTGTCCTATAAGAGAAAGATTTTTTTCTGGCCACCATTTCCACCTTTACTGAATCATAAACACATTTGAACCAAATAGGAGAGTTTTTAGAAATGGTTAATGTTAAATTTCTCATTTGAAGATGAGCTTCATCGTTCTAATGTTATCTCCCATCTGCTGAGCCTAGTGTGCAATTCAAAGGTCAACAGAACATTCAATAAACAGTGGATATTGTCACTGGAAGTGCTTTGCACTGATCTAATAGATATACATTACCTGCTGTAAGTTGGTGATTCCAGCAAAGCCATATACTTGTTGGAAGTCTTCCAAGTAATTGTTTTCTTGTATATACACACACAAAAACACACACACACACACAAGCGTTAAGCTTTAGTCAGTATTAAGTTATTTGAGGTTTTTAAGCCAAGACTCACTGCTTGTGTTTAGTTATGTTATGAAATCTGCTGGGACATTAAAATATTCATAGGTAATTCTAACGCAATTCACAATGGTTAAATGATTACCTGTCCAAATAAATCATATGTCACCAAAAAAATAACAAAAAAACTTAATATATTAGAAATGGTTCAAATTAAAGAACACTGAGATTTGGAAATGTACAATTGTTCAACCCAAATTTATTTTGTAATTGAATAATAGGGTTTTTAAATTCAATTATATACTGCTTTTAAGGAGGAACCCAGGGCCAACTGGAACAGCATATGGTCTCACAATGGTCTTAGGATCTCATCTCTGTAGCTAATGGCAGTCATGCTGTGCAGCCCTCCAAAGAAATGCGACCCCACACCATGCTGAAGGATGTTGCTGTCAGCAGATGCCTCTCCAAGATGTCTTTAGACTCTCTAACATCCGTTACAGTTGCTCAGTGTGTACCTATTTTCATCTGTGAAGAGCACAGGGCACCAGTGGTGAATTTGCCAATGCTGGTGTTCTCTTGTAAATCCCAAGCATCCTGCACGGTGTTGGGCTGTTAGCACAACCCCCATCTGTAAAGGTCGGGCCCTCAAACCATCCTCGTGGAGTCCGTTTCCAACCGTTTTTGCAGACAGATGCACATTCCAGTCCGCTGGAGGTCATTTTGGAGGGCTCTGGCAGTGCTGCTGTTCCTCCTTGAATAAAGGCAGAGGTAGCAGTCCTTCTGATGGGTTGTTGCCCTCCTACATCCTCCTCCATGTCTCCTAGTGTACTGGCCTTTCTCCTGGTAATGCCTTCCTTCTTTGGACACTACGCTGACACACAGCAAATATGCTTGCCACAGCTCACATTGATGTCCCATCCTTCTACCAATAATTTCAAATAATTTCCGACTGTTCTTAGTTGCTGTTGCAAAACAGCAATTGAAGTTTGATTGTCAATCTGAGTTGCTTCATAAGTGGACCATTTGATTTCAAAGAAGTTCAATTTTAGTTATTGAAGTTATATGGGTTATTTATGTGTGTGTATTTTTAGCAATGTATTTGTTTGTGCCCTTTTTGGATGCTTCCATATTTGAGTGTCTCAACAGTAAGTGAAACCTACAAGCTTTTATTTAGTTTGTTTGAATCCTAACATTATTTTTACAATTTAAATAGGATTACCCAGTACTTACAGTAAATCATTATACCAATTGAACATTATTTGGGTCATTTGTTTATATGACTATTTTTTTCTCTTATCTGGGTAAAATTATTTTAAAGTAGTACTACTGCTGACTGCAATGTATGGCTCCTCGCTAACCTCTGTGTGTGAGACTATTTATTAATTTCCAATTCCTTTGAGTTTTTTTCTAGAATCTAATCTTTATAAAATTACTTAATGTCATAATTACAGCTTTTCAGGTTTTTTGAAAACTTAGTGTTTTTCTTTTCCTGTAGTTTTCTCCTTTTTTTGTTTAATGATTAAGTGGAAGTATTTATCTTTTGTGGCAAAGTGTATTTTTTGTGTACACCATATGTTTTGAAATATTTCAATGCTTAAAGTTTGAGTTTCATCTGGTCTAAAGTTGTTTCTCCCATTATATAATATAGATGAGGCCTTCCAACTGGCTGTCTAGGACCAACACCAAGTTTTATTATTGCCTTTCATAATTGATGTCCTCCATTCCTCCAGTTCATGTGAAGCATCTATCATTGATCGGTGACCACATTTCTAACCCTCGGAAGACATTATGCTCACATACTTCAACAGCTGAGCACTTATTGTCCAGTAATATCTCAGTAAAGAACTGGAACTCAGTATAATTAAAATTCAAGAAACCTAGGCCCATCCTTTTTCTTCCAAGATGGGTCGTTGTCCATCTTCTCCTTCGCCACACCATCAGATCTACCGCAGTCTTAATGAGCTTCAGCATGCTGGTTTACAGGGCGGTTAGAATATAAGTGATTACGTCCTGAAGATAAAATGCTATTAATTACCCGTTATCTGATCGGGGGATTAATTAACTCGCTTCCTAGATTGATGTGGCCTCAAGTTTTGCTTCATCATTCATGCTTTGGTCTGACTTTTATCTTCAGTGTTTACAGGAAACAGAGTAGCAGCAGTCCCTAAAGGTCCACATGCCTATGGAGGGCCTAATGTTACAGGGAGAAATGTCCTCTTGCTGAAACTGGGCTGTTGAAAGGTGGAGCCAAAAACCGATTATTATCAAATGTTGAATCTAATCATTGTAACTCTGTCCACCTGCTATTCTCTTTTAACAAATTGCCCATCCTTGATTGATCCTCCTTTATTCATTTACTTACAGGGCTGTAATGCAGCTCTTGAGCCACACATGAGCAACTTTGTTAGACCAAAAAGCAATAATAAAACATATGCAATCTGAAAAAAATACAGTATAAAGATTTTTATACAGTTCTTTAACCATAAAAAATAAATCCAATTGATTTATTTTCTTTTTTCGCTCTCTGTAGGCAGCTAATTCTCCACATGGAGCTGATTCTCTTCCCAGAAGAACAGATACTTAGAAAGGCCTCAGGAGGCCTATTTCTTGTACTGCTTTTCAAAGATGAACAAGATGGAAATCAATTGTAAGAAGCCTTTCTCCAAATTATTTTCTGCAAAACAGTTTCTGTTAATTACACTAGAAATATGTGCGATTTACATTGCCAAATCATATCAGAGCCACTCCTTCCAATTAACAGTTAAACAAGGCTCGCTGTGAGCCAAAATACATAGACGTTACATATCAGGAGGCTTTGTGCATGGGACTTAAAGCTTGTTTATATAGTTTTTATCCACTGAACATCCTCAATCTATTAATCATTTTGCTCTAAATGCTTAAACGCATTTCTTATGCTTTTTTCTCTGGTTTTGGCCAGTTTTGCTAAGGAAGATGCATTTGTCAATGCCCATGCTGCAATCTTTGATACAGATTTATTGTGAGAGAAGTAGACCTAAAGGTTATATCATTTAACTGATATAATCAGTATTGTATTTTACTAAAATACAAAAGTAAGTAATCATAGTATTAAAGTTTTAAACATTAAGTACTAAAGCATATTTACTGGTGGAAAAACAGTTGAATACTGATATATATATACTGTTTTTTTTTTTTAAGAAATGTATCTTTAAAGAAAGAACTATCAGCTTAGTTATTCCTGCCAGATTACCAGTGCTTTGCAAAGATATTAATACCCTTCAAATCTCTTAATTCTTTGTCACAATCTAAAGCTTTGCGGTATTTTCCTGGAATATATATTTTTTTAATGGGCCATCATAGATTAATCCATAATTGTGAGCTTAAAGGGAGAGAGCACATGGCTTACAGATTACAGATAGAAAAATGTGTTGTGTTTTCTTCAAAACATTACATAAGTGATAAACAGACTGACATGGCCTGAGGTTATTATGGTTGCATAATGCTGTGCAGATCAAGGTTGGTGATTTACTGGCCCCAGCTGTGGAGCGGTGGCTGGCCTCTCCTGCCTCCTTCTAATGAACATACCCCTGATACCTGATTGAACTATTTGTCTCCTCCTCCGATCACATAAAAGACCTACAGTATTTGAGCCCAGCTCACCAGCACTGCTGCCAACTTTTCAGACACCTCTAACACTTTTTTTTTTACGAGTAGCGATAAATTTAGCTACTTTTTTCTGTGATGTTGGAGACTTTGGCGACAATACATGAAAGCAGTACTGATTTATCTGGAATTACTGTTCTCAAAGACCACTGTTCAACCCATAATCTGAACATGAACAATACTAAAACACATCTGCCAGTGCTTTCATGACGTGGCAAGAAGATGAACATTAATCAAAACAGTAGCAAAGTAGCCCATGATCAGTCTGAGGCAGGTGGAGAAATCCAGAGAATAGCCATTAGTTTTCTATTCCAACACTTTGGACACTATGGGGGAGTAGAAATGTTGGTGATATTCTTTCAATTAAAAGAGGTGCTTCTGCCCAGTCTGCCTCTAGCTATTTTTAGGACACTGTGAAAAAGGGACTAAAATTGAACTTGTGGCTCTGATGTAGGTTTCTAAATCCAAACCCCCAATGGGAAGCTGTGTGCAACAAAAACTTAAAAGGAAAATAAAATCATAAAAACTAATGCTGACTATAAAATACACTTGCTGGCCAAACTACAGGTGATTAGGAAAAGGTATACAAAAATTAATAGTTCCATCGGTGCAGGAGAGTTTCACCTGTAATGTCTAGAGTGAAAAAAAATTTTCTTTGCAGAGATAACATTTTCTGTTATCCAAACAAAATATCCTCTTTCTTTAAAATGTTTTGTGCTCCAGATAGCCTCAGAGCAAATTCCCATCTTTCTTATGACAGAACAGGGCTAGGTGTTCTCTCTTTGTTGTGGCCTAGATAGGCTCCTACACCGAGACTCGTGTGCATTGGACTGTCACCAAAGCACATAAGGCCCAGAGCTTACGCCTTCTCAGGAGAAACTAATTGTGACAGGTTCTGCTATTTTTCCGTTAAAGATGCAGCATTTGCTGAAGAAACCTAAGTGGCTAATTTTTCACCATGCATACTAAATGTCAGACTGCTTAGACACGGTTTAGTGAAAGGATAAATTGTTGGGATCCTAGTTGGGAGTTTTTTTTTTTTTATTCTTTAGTGAAAGGAAATATATTTGAAAAGACTAAAAAAGGGTGGAAACAGTAGTAGACTTCCTGCTGAGAAAAGCTTCATCATTCAGACTACACTGAATAGTTGTTTTATAATCTCTCTCAAACTGATAGCAACACCTGTTCAAGGCCAATATATTTAATCCCTACCATACCAAACAAGTTCTTTTTGTAATAATCCAGTATTGATTTCCTTGTTGAGGCAGGAACATCTTAAAAATTCTTAGCCATAGAGCAGCTTTGGCTTAGCTCTTAACTGTAAGGTCCATTATTCTGTTTAATGACTGAATTGACCTTCAGTAATCTTAAAGCCCTGAAGGAGTGAGGAAAAGAAGAGTCCAAATCAGCACCTCACTCCCCAGGGCTTGTGTTTTTATCAAACATTTAGAAGAGTTATGCTTTAATTCACATTTTTTTTAAAAGCATTGTTTTTTTTTCTTGAGAGAAAACCTGTTTTGTATTCTTAATATTGAGTCGTGACTGACCTTCTATGTCTCTAGTCTTCACTTTTTTTAATTTGACGTAGAGATGATACATTTTTGGGGATAAAACCCCTAAATTAGAAGTAGAAAACGTTCAAAATTGCCACTTTAAGATGATGTATTCATTATCAAAGTTGGTTAAAATTCCATTGGACCATATTTTGTCTGCTTTTCTCCCATACAGATATTCATTTTTGAGAACAACATCTACTATCGATCTAAGGTGGAGAGCCGTTCAATTCGTCTGGTGTCTACTGGAAGGGAAGGCTTCATCTTCAATGGACTCAGTGACTGGTTGTATGAAGGTAATGGAAATACTACCAAATATCCAGGCATTAGTGGTAAAGTTGAATAGCTTGTAGCTTGAATAGAATCAGAATCAGAAATACTTTAATAATCCCAGAGGGAAATTACTTAAATACCTTGAATAGCTTGAACTCAGAACTTCTGCGCTTGAAAGCCAGAGGTTCTGGGTTTAAGCCCCACTCCCACGGACTTACACTGGGTCCCTGAGCAAGACCATAGCAACCCACTGCTCCCCAAGGAGATGAGTTAAATGCAGAGAGTTTATTTCTATACACATATCTGTACTTTTGACAGTGTAATGACAATAAAAACACAAAGAAGTGTACTATATGCTTTGTACGTGAGCAACACAATCACTTTATAGAGAGAAAAAAAACTCTAAAAGGCTTTTTAAGGCAAAAAGATCAACTAGACTGACTGTTATGTTCTTCTTGATAGGCTATTTCATATATAACTTCCATTATTTTGAAAAACATCAAATATGATTAGGTTTATATTAAAATTATATGAAATAACCCATCAGAGGATAGCTTTTAGATTTATTAAGCCCATGACTGTTTTATTACAGTCTTCTTTTTTGTTCATTTTGGTCTGTCTGAGAAGTGCTTTGCAAATTAGCAAAGGGCTATAAATGTTATGGCGTTCTGTATTTGTTTACAAATGAACAATAATGAAAGATTTCAGCAGGGGTTTTGCATCTAATGAAGAATTTGGCATTTGTTTATCTAATCTCAAAAATTAATCATTAAAATTACTTGGAAAATTGAAATAAAACAAGCAAATTTTTGTCCTTCCTTCTCCTTCTGAGTTTGAGTGTTTAGAGATTATATTAGAGCTGACTCTTTGGGTACATTTAAAAAATTTTATGAAGCTAAGCTAACCAACATTAACTAGCGCTTCATCTTCTACAAAAGACTTAATAAAAAAATAATAGCATTTGTCCTAAAGAAACATGTAGTCCAGAGCACCCTTTCTGGTCACGTTTTGGAGAAATTCAGAGGTCAAATATTCCAGAAAGTCCCCTCGTAAGTCTACATCAAGCTACACTGAAAAAATTAATGCAACTGTTTTTGGCATTTACTTAATCATATTTAGCTACTTTAACAGAATTGTTTTATGTCCTACCCTGTTAACATGAAGCAATTGTGTTAAAGTAACTAAATATGATTAAGTAAATGCCAAAACCATAACCTTTTACTGCTCTAACAGTTGGTATTTGTCATTAACTCTCTAACAGTGGTATATATTACTGTAAAACTCACTTTAGAAATAAAGAGCATTTTTCTTCTGACTTTTAAACAGCAATTTTGAGATAAAAGTAATCACATAAGCTTATGGTCTATAGCAGGAGTAACCAACCTTTATAAGACTGAGGGCTAACTAATGGCTACTAAGTCATGGGCTACCAGTACTGACCTATAAACTGGAGGAGTCAGCATTTACCTAAACGTCATAGGTAATAAACATATTTGTACTGTATATTTTAATTTCTTTTTTTTAGCTATATATATTTAAATATATATCTTTTTTTAGATATATATCTAGATATTCCTATAAATGCTTTCATGATTTAAATCAGGCATCCCCAAAGTCAGTCCTCGAGGGCCGCTGTCCTGCAGATTTTAGAGGTTTCCTTGCTCCAGCACAGCTGATTTCAATTGAAAGCTGATTAACAGGGTTTTGCTCAACTGCAATCATCATAATCAGCTCTGCTAAAGCAAGGGAACCTCTAAAACCTGCAGGACAGCGGCCCTCGAGGACTGACTTTGGGGATGCCTGATTTAAATGATGGATATGAGGAAATGCTCTATAAATGATAAAAAATAAGAGCACAGCATAAAATAAAATGTCAAACTTAGTCCACTGGTAAGTTTTCAGAAGATGCTTGGGGCAACCCATGTGGTCCTTGAGAGCCCCTTGGTGCCTGCATGCACCACGTCGGTGACCCCTGGTCTAAAGTGACCAATCTACAACAGGAAGGAAAAAATGTTGTCCATATTCTTAGAAATATATACAAAAGTAGCCCTTTAAACTGCACCCAGCCGGGCGTGCAGGTGGTGCAGTGGTTAGCGCGCACAACCCTTAGCCAACTCGGGTTCCAATCCGACCTGTGGTCCTTTGCCACATGTCTCTCCCCCTCTCTCATACCCCCTTTCCTGTCAGCCTACAGTAGAAAAAACAATCCACTGGTGCCACAAAAACTCCAAAAAAGAAAAAAAAAAAGTCACAACATGTACATTTTTAACCACAGATTACCTTTTGTCCTTAGTAAAGGTGCAATTCACAATGATAAAATGACACAGTAAGATTAACTCTTTTATAACAGACGGACATTTGCATCCAGTTATAAAAAGAAAATCAATATGCTTCAAACATACTGTATATATGTACAGTGACATTGTTATACCCAATTTTTTCTTAAGCTCTTGCATGTTTCATTAGTGATGAGAACCAAAATCACTATCAAGTGTTAGCAGCCAGACTAACATTTCTGGTATGTAGCTCTTAACTTCTTAAGACAAATTGCTATTAAAAATGTTATTAATTTCCCTCTTTAAAAACCTAGTGGATAAAGAAATTTAATCAATAAGCTATTTGCCTGCATGTTGTTCAGTTGTACATTGTGATACAAAGGTCCAGGGGCACCGTCAATCAAACTCACCTGCTTGTGTCAATGTAGAAACTGGAACTATGAGCTGGATTCAACTAAATGAATTTACTCTGTGTATATTATGCTCGAACAACAGAGGCGATACAGGTTGATAGATGTTGTGATAGTAAAAAAACATGACACTACAAAAAGCCAAGCCTTCATTTCTGCAGGAACACTGACTTATTCACATTTTGGCTTCTTGTTAATGAAGAAATGAAGCTCCTCGGGGTGACCTGTGAGGGTTTCGGTGACTCTGAACTCATCAAATTCCACCTTATCAGCAGCATAAAGCCTGTAAAAAGCTTTCTGTTTATATGTAATACTGTCCACCTGCAGCATTAATCAGTATTAAAATCCAGGTTCATCCTTGAGGTTTTTTTCTTCCTTCCCTGACATTTAACATTAATCAGAGCGTGATTGCAACATCTAACCTTGTGACTCCTATTTATGGACTGCTGAAAGCCCAGTAATTTACACTCATCATTTATTGATGGAGGAATCTTTTGACTCCAAGATAAAACACATCTTCCACTCTAATACAGTCAGGCAAATGTAAACGGTCTTAGAATGCTCTATGAAATAATCTCTAGCTAGGTGTGACCGAAATATGAAAGATTGTGTTTCGTAGGCATAAATAAGATGTTCTTGGTTTAATGCTTGATTCAAATTCCCTTTTAAACTGGATACTACTTCCTGCACATTTCCAAATGATTTTCAATTTTTTTTTAGAATTAATTCTCTAAAATTATGTTTTTAATATGTCATGAAAATAACTGTTAATGTTGGAAGTTTTTTATTACTAAATAATTAGTCTAAATGTAAGCATTACAACCACAATAGGAGCCATTTAGCTAATAAATAACAGAGTATTTTAGGGAATTTAAATCATAATCTCTAAAAGAAAAATGTTCTATGTCACATGATCCCGGTGATTGTGGCTTTTTCTGTGTGTATGACAGTAGCAGCCCTAAAGGAGATTAGCTAAAGCCGGGCTTATACTGCGATTTTTGTCCTTTTCAGGGCGACTTTCCAGTCGTGCGAGAATTTTCCGATTGGTCCAACTTTCAGCCTGGTCGTAACAAGGGGCGATCAGCCCATCACAACCACCTCCCGATCAGGAATCATGAGGTCGGGAGAAAATCAAACTCGTTTGATTTTCAGTCGACCGTCTCGGGCAAATCATTCAGTGGGCATTCGCAAACATGGATTCTTCTTCTTCTTTGAATGAATGCCCAGCTTAAGAAAACAGATGGAATACAGGTGTTGATCTCCAAATAGCCATAAAAACAGTCTCCATAAATAAAGTGCCATCTGATGTAACCATCTGATGTGAACTCTCTTTTTAGGCCTTTGTTCCTGAAAACATACAGTATGCGCATCGATAAAATTATTATTAATTATCTATAATTATCTGCTCTAAGTAGTTGCTTTTCTATGAGGCTGCTATCAGTGATGTTATTGAAACTTTATTTGAAAAATAACTTGGAACAAAAAATAATTATTGTCGTTTCTAAATTATTAAATCTTCTTTTTGGAATCAAATCTGTTAAATCCTTAAATCAGTCATGTAGGCGCTGATTGCTACTGGGTTATTCCATGGAAGTACAGTTGGAAAAACTCCTTTCAAAAAATAAAACCCAGACATTATTTGCGTATGGAAATAGCCTTGGGGGTATTGTGAACCCTCACCACTATCCTGGATAATAAAAAATAATCCAAAAGATGGCCACCGCTGATGAAGTGCTGAGTAAATAGTTCAGGCAGATTAAACCTGAGAATGAAGAGAAGCAGGGGCCTCTGTGGAACGACAGGCCTATGCAAATCATCTACCACCAGCAGGTAGAAGGGGTGGCTGATGTTACAAGTTCCTAGCAGTGGCTAGACAAATTTGGACTGAAAGGCAGCTGAGAGGCACTAATCATGGCAGCAGTGACTAACAAAGCAAATAACATCAGGCTGCAAGCTGCTTGCAGCATACATGGACACACCAAGTGGCCGGCATAGTATGCAGGAGCATCTTTCCCAGGTTTTGCCTGGAAGTCCTGAGACCAAAATGTGATGCATCCTACATGGTTATTTGAAAATAACCAACCTAACATCCTGAAGGACTTCCAGATACCAACAGATGAACTGATTATGGCAAACCAACTGGACACAGTAGTGATGGACAAGCAAATAAAGAAGGTGGTAGTGGTCGATGTAGCAGTACCAAGTAACAGTAACATCAAGAAGAAGAAACACGAGAAGGTGAAGGCCAGTGTAGTCCCTGTGGTTGTTGGAAGACTCAGGGCAGTGACCCCTAAACTGAGAGAGTGGCTCCCACAGATTACAGTCATGACATCTGAG